ATGATTTAAAGATGAAACGGCCGCCAATTGGCTCTTAATCAATGTTATGCAAGGTACGATTACGCAATCAAACAATACCTTATTGCAGTGAATATTTATGAAATAGAGAAAATGTGCAGTCTAGAGCCGCATTTTTCACCAAAAAGCGTTCCAAGAGTGATAATTGAGCCTATGTCATCATATGAGATGCTTGCTTTAATATCTTGAAATGTGAAAACTTCCCTTTAAATCGGAAAGACTGCTCCAGAAAGCAAAATTTAGCTATTTAGTAAACATGTTCCTTATTACATCATTGTTTGATAGTGTCATTGAACGTTTGTATGACGAGGTGCTGCAAAACTAGCCGTTTTGAAATTGCCACCCCAGTACTTACGTGTAGCACTTCAGCTCACCGAGACATGCCAGTGGTGGCGATGGGAGTACGCGATGACCTAAATGTCGTTATGTGTTCGCATTTTGGCCTTTTCTCGTGGTGTATTAGCCTATATATCCGGGAGTTTAGGGTGTTTGCCCGTATTTATATACTCGGTTTTGGCGCAGTTCTTTAATGAAGTGCTCCAGACAGGGAGTTTTGGCGATGTTCATCAGATATGATGAAATAAGCTCGCTTATGTATGCTGGAATACTTTTATGTGGGTGAGACTGCTCTGGACGACGAAATTCCCCTTTTTGGTAAATGTGCTCCTTAAATGTCATAGTTTGATTGCGTCATGGAACGTTTGTATGACGTTGCGGTGCTGCCAAACCGGCCGTGCGCAATTGTTGTTCAGCTCTAACTCGTAGCATTTCAAACTCTCCCTTGTAGCATTTCAAACTCACTGAGGGATGGCATTGTCGCCGAGCTCTAACTTGTACCAATGCAAACTCGCCGAGGCATGGCAAGGCGGCGCGGGAAGTCTTTGCTAAACCAAATGTCGTTACTTGTCCGCGTTCTGTCCCTTTGTGGTGGTGTTCTTGCATATTTGTCCGTAAGATTAAGAAATTAACTTGCATTCCCATATTTGACCGTTCTCCTTCATCCGATATCCTTGAAAGGGCCATTATTAGTCAAAAAGGCCCTGATCCGAATCACCAAGAACCAGTCGTGATTGAAACTTGCACAGCTTGCTCAACATTGGTTAACAGCGTATTGATGCCCACTATTTTTGGAAATGGTGCCCACGGACGCCAGATCTAACCGGCTTAACGATAATATTCTTCTTGGTCTTGAACGCCGCATGACCAATGGGATGGCAAGATTTGAATGACCTTCCTATCGCGTTATGCATACAGGGATGGCCTTAAAATAGTCTGCACAAAATAGTCTGCGCATCTTTGGGGCGTGCAGCTCAGATACTTGGGGCTTTTAGGCCTTATGAGGGCAGGGCTGTGGACTCCGCCGAGTTATCCTCAAAATGATTATTTCAGTTCAAAACTTCCATACAAAGTAGGACAATCCTTTTAACACGCGCCCGGGTGACCGGATAGATACCCTTCGCTCGGGTGGGGGAATAATCTGACCCCTCTGAAATCTCGTAAACTAAGAAAGCTAGACACACGAAACTTGCAGGGTATATCGATCTGTACGTGAACTCACTTAGGTCAAAATTGCAGCTTCCTAGGTCATGACCTTTGAGTAAAAAAGGTCAAACAAGGTCAGGTTTCAGGTTGGTTTCCTAAGTGCCCCCGGAACCTAAATAACCGTTTCTAAGCAAAATGTTACGTGCTCATTCAAGGTCAGTGACTTTGTTTGACATTTTGAAGGTCAAGGCAACCAAAATCATGCAAGATTGTTCTGAGTTCTGCATTTGACTGAGCGACAAAGATTACGTCAGGCAGCATGTTTCTAAACCAAAATGTTGACCTGGGTCATTTTAGGTCAACGACCTATTCTGACCTCTAAGAAGTCCATGGAAGATGCATAATGCGGTTCCTGCTTTCAATAAACTATAAATGAGCGTTAGAAGCTATCCCATGCAGCAAGCTCTAGAGTAACAAAACAGGTTGGTTTTGACCTTAGTGTGAAGTTCATATCTGACCTTAGGTCAATTTAATTTGCTCATTCAACTGTTGTGTTGCCTAAGAAAGCATCTCAGAGAGGAATGGCTTCGTCTAACACTCCGTTGTTGGATCAGATTGAAGGATTCCCTGGAAATTGCCTTCGCTGAAATGACGGCCTGACTTTGACCTGCCATGGTCAGAAACCTTACAATGTACATCTCAGTTTGTGAAGCCAAACGATCCGCTATTCAATTATCTACAGCTATGCAAAATTTGGCGCGGCTAAGCCACGTCGCTCGGAAACCATTCTGGAAAAACCTTCGGGGGGGGGGGGCAATTTGACCCCCACCCGAGCCCGTGTTAACCCACCTCTAGTCGGTGGGGGGGGGGGGGAGATGACCTACCTCTACGTTTTTTTCGAGATCAGCCCAGAAACGAACGCTTGCAGCAATTCAAAATTGTCACCACCTGTTCATGACTTTGGCATCCTTGGTGCAAATGTGAAGTTTTAATTTAGCGAGACCAGTAATCTAGATCAGGTCAAAGAGGCTAACCTCTAAACAACTTTAACCAAGCATAACTTTTTTGTGGAATATTTGTCATAGTTAGAACTTCCTATAGGAATAGAAGATGATAGCACTACAATTTTTATTTAAGATTTTTCAGCAGATTCGAGATTAGTGATATGAAGTCAAGTAAAAACTTCCTATTTTCGTCAATAATGCAAATTTGTACGTACTTTTGCTAAGCTTTGGCGTTTGCGTGTGAGAAAAAGAGTACTAACTTACACGAGCAACCATCATCTGAATACAGAGTCCATGACCTCGGGCCAGGTCATGACCAATCTCTATAGATACCTTCTATAAAATGCATGCCGAGCTCATAACAGGCCGTTTTATTTGAACAATTTTGGACTCAGAATTCAAACACTGCACTTAAACATGTGAATTCATTCTAATATACGCTGAAATCACAGCATGCCATGAAAGGACATGCAAGGCCATATGAGGTCATTCAAGGTCGACGACCTGTGCTGCCAGTAGTAGGGAGGCTAGGTAAAGGAGTACGGCACGTGTAACCGCCTCTTTATCGTGATGACCTATGCTGCCAGTAGTAGGGAAGCTAGGTAAAGGAGTACGGCACGTGTAACCGCCTCCTTATCATGTTTGTGGCGCTGATGACGTCTAATGTCATGTACCAACGTACCTGTTCTCAGTTTGTTACAAATTCATTGTCAAGCGTTGAAGAGACTATGTGTAAAGGAGAAAACAGCCACGCGATCTTGAGTACCTGTAGATGTACAACGCACTAATTCTGACCACAGAAAAGCATTCTACTAGTCACATGGAACCGGTTAGCTCTTCGAATTTTCCGATTGAGCGGTTTGTAAATTTGACCTAAGATGACCTCTCATGGCCTCTAGATCACCATAAAATGACATTTTTGTGTCTGCAATACTTTTGTCCCTCAGCTGCATCTAATAAACTAAATTAGCCAGAATATAAACAGGCTAAAAATATAAATATATTTTTACTGCATCTATCGGAAGGACCGCTTTTGGCATTTCGTGATCTCTGGTGACCTCACATTTAAGCTACAGTCAGAAATTTTGTGCGTATTGTTTATGAGTTAAGAAAGCATTTCAAACGGTATTTTTGTTTTTCCTCGTACGGCGCTTGGAAGTTGGGGATCCCAAGGGGAGGTCAACTCCTCCCACCGGGGGGGGAGGGGGGGGGGCCTGAAGCCCACAGCCGGGCGCGGGCTAAGGCTTTTAACCTCCTAATATTTTGTCTGCATAGCACTGGAAAGTTCATAAACTTTTCGTTACTAGACCCTGCGGATCTTGGTCTTTCAGATAACTCAAAAAAACTTACTCAATATGTGAGTAGGCCGTGGTTTGGCGTGCGTAGGCAATAGCCCATTTTGAAGATCAAACGTGTTAACCGTGATTATTTGCACGGTTGTGTACCACCAAACGTTTTTTTTTTGACCCACTAGAATGTCTGAGGCAAAATTACCCGCTTGCACGAGCAGCAATGTGAGCCTTTTTGCCAAACACAGGTCAGGATGAACGTACCATTTCACTGTGGACTGGTGGAGTGGTGGATTTACAAGATCGTGGCGCCTATCGTGAGTTCACCAGAGTGGGCAGATGTTTGCCGGATCGGTCGCGCGCGGCCCGCGAACTGACCTGACTGTGACCCCGGTCTGCCTGCGCCGCCAGAGCCCGTGCTGGGCGACTACTGCACCAGCACCAGTGTGTGTATGGAGTCCATCACCAACGGCGAGTGTACAGCTGGCACGTGCCAGTGCCCGAGCCAGCACTGGGTCAACAGCAACGTCGACTGTCAGCCGGGCGTGCCGCTCACCGGCGCGTGCAGCGCCAACATCGAGTGTCAGGTGAATCCCCCCCCCCCCCCCGCTCCTTCCCCGGACCCCTCCCTGCCGACGTCTTCTGAAACACGACAGTCTCAAGGTGTCCGCGGGGTCATTGTTAGTTTTCTGTACAAGCCGGTTACGTCAAAAACACAGAAACAACTTATGACTGGCGGATGGATGATGTTTTAAGTGTATTCTACTCTCGAAGATGTTTTGGTCGAGGGGTTCCTCGGCTTTCCAAGCCGCTCCGGTTATCTCAAAATCAAACATGATGTGGGGATGCAGCCCTTCTCTTCTCTTGAACGCAGCCGTTACTCAAACGCTCCAGTTTTTTGAGGGCCGGATCTGTCATTTAAGTATTGTAAGCTAACCTGCCATAAGCCTTTATTGTCACTTTAACAGTGAAGAATCAGCAGTTGGACTGCGATGGCAACTTGCGTCGAGGTCATCGCTCGGCATCACTAAAGAGCGTGACCAATCGGACCCACCTAAGGCGATCGCAAATAAATGGACAGCCCAGAGGCATTATTTCCGTCGTGCGGTAGAGATCGCGAAATCGACTATGGGCTTAGGACAAAAATGATATTCGCGGCTAAGCAGCAATCTAATTTCACTAACCGTTTTCAGACCATTACGGAAAACAGCATATGTGGTGCCAGTGGTACCTGTGAATGCGATGCAGGCTATTTTAACTACCAGAATACGCAATGTCTCCCAGGTGAGTTAATGAGCCACCTCATCCTTGAATCCTCTGGGTCTCTGCAACACATTGAATGGCACTGCAACATTTTGCCGTAGATGTTATCTCCGCTCTCTTTTCCAAAGCCGCGTTGCCTTTTTGCCGTGGTAGCGTATTTCGAATGGCGCGATTGAATTTAGGAGCGGTTCAAATCACTGTTTGACGATGAAGGACGCGGGTATGATGCAAACTCTGGTGAAAGTTTGGATTTAAATATGCGCAGAAAGGTATCACCAGGTAGACGCATCGACTCTGCTTGCCTCAGACCAAACGGATCGCTGGTGAGTATCCGCTAAGTTGCTGGTGGTTACCAGTCTGTTGTCGGGGCCGGCGCTGTCGATTGCGTGTTTGTTCCTCGGCCCCGGTCCACTGTCGAAATGGTCACGCACATGCAGCCTGTTTGGGACTGCAGTAGGAATTCGTACCCGGGGGAAATATGCGTGGTGCCTTCATGGCCGCATTCTAACCGTGCGTTTTGCAGTGAAGGCACTGGGGGACCCGTGCACGATGGACCACGAGTGCGGGGACGAGACCACCAAACACTGTCCGTCTGGATCGTGCGCCTGCCGGCCCAACTATGTCAGCGTGGAGGGCGTCTGCAAACCAGCCAAAAATCTGGGCGAGGCCTGCACCGTCAACGAAGAGTGCACGGTGAGATGGACTGCCCCCCCCCCCCCCCGCTGAAGGGAGGCGGGCGTGCTGGGCTCCCGCACCGCACAGCAGCACGCCCGCTGTGCTGCCACAGGTGCTGCTGGCTTCCCGTACCGCACAGCAGAGCCTGTGGCAGCCGATGGCGACGTCACGACTCAGACAGACCGATTTGTTGGAATTCATCACTTGCTTGCTTACTTCGCCTGTTTGCTTGTGGGACGCAGATACGGAAAGTCGCGGGAGGCGTGCGTTTTGTCGTCGCGCGGCGTGTGGCCGTGCGCTAGGGTGGTTCGATCCAAATCTGAGATGCCACGTGAGTTCATCGATACAAAGCTGAAGATGTCAATGACTTTATACGCGTTGCCCGCCCCCCCCCCCTTCAAGCAATAATCTGCTTGACAAGGGGCGTACTACAGGGGGACATCTGCTTGACCGGAGCATACTACAGCTGGTCCAGGACCATCTCGAAACAGATTTGCATTTTTTTTTCTGACAAAGAACAAACATTATGGTTCCATCTATGGTAGTTTCATCCATAGTTTTATCATGGCTACATTATGGTTACACCCCAGTGTTCTTCCTTGCACCTTAATCATTCTATGGGTACTCACACTGCAGCCTCAGCTGCCCAGCCTGCTAGGATTAAGAGCTCATAAGCAGACGTCGCTGTTCAGAATGCACACTCGTCGCTCCGCGTGCTTGGCACCACGCTAGCACGGCAGCTTGGCACCACGCTAGCACCCGGCGCCACGCTAGCACAGCAGCTTGGCGCCACGCTAGCACGGCAGCTTGGCGCCACGCTAGCACGGCAGCTTGGCGCCACGCTAGCACGGCAGCTTGGCACCACGCTAGCACCCGGTGCCACGCCAGCACGGCAGCTCGGCGCCACGCCAGCACGGCAGCTTGGCGTCACGCTGGCACGGCAGCTTGGCGCCACGCTAGCACGGCAGCTTGGCACCACGCTAGCACCCGGTGCCACGCCAGCACGGCAGCTCGGCGCCACGCCAGCACGGCAGCTTGGCGTCACGCTGGCACGGCAGCTTGGCGCCACGCTGGCACGGCAGCTTGGCGCCACGCTAGCACGGCAGCTTGGCACCACGCTAGCACGGCAGCTTGGCGCCACGCTAGCACGGCAGCTTGGCGTCACGCTAGCACGGCAGCTTGGCGTCACGCTAGCACGGCAGCTTGGCGCCACGCTAGCACGGCAGCTTGGCGCCACGCTAGCACGGCAGCTCTGCGCCACGCTAGCACGGCAGCTTGGCGTCACGCTAGCACGGCAGTCGCACGACGCGCTACAAAGCATGGTACTGTGCTGCATGGCGACGTTTCATGGTTAGATACGTTTATTGTGGCCTCGGCACGAGCTTAATGCATTTCATTGTGCAAAAACATAATGAAAACACAATGGATGAAAAATATGTGCAAAGGATAGGCCTGATGCGTCAAAGGCGTAGTCATTCTCTTGGCTGCACAATGACGCCATGAATGGTGCGGGGGGGAGGGGCAGCAAGATGATGATTTCATGGCCTGGGTACAACATTGTGCGTCGAAGGAAGTATAGTGTGAAAATGTAATCATACCATAGTGCTTTGGTCAACCACAACGGGAGGTATGTTGTAAGCATTAATCTTTCGAAATTGGAATGATTGCATTGTCATAAATCAACATCTGTCATCTCCAGATAGATCAAAGCATGCTTGTAGTTAAACTGATATCATGTGCAAACAGCTTTCATAACGAGCGCCGTGAGCACTTTATTCACACGTGAAGAATGCTGCGAAAAGTCGGCATGCCACAAGCCGCCTGAAGGGGCATCCTTTAATGGTTAAATGCTACAATTGGGCAAATAGGAATTGAATCCCTTTTCAGAGGGAAACACGATGCACGTCATCGTGTGCTCTTTTATGGAGCGCCTGCAAGGGTCATGTTAGCGCTAAGGGCCGTGCCACAGCCAGGACTCGAACTCGGACCCCATGTGGGGCCAAAGGCACAAGCCGCACGGCCGTTATGTGCCCAGGCTGACGTGGCCACTAACTTACCAGCCATATCGCGTTTTCCAGCCACGACTAAACCAAGTGTCCCGCATGCTCGTATTCGACAAGTAACGATGACGCTCGCCAGCGTCGCTCTACCATCAGCTGAGCCCGCTGTAAGCCCCGCTCCTGTTTTTTATTTGGGACTTGAAGCCTCGGAGCAGGCTTCCATTCGGTGCTGTAAGCCAAACCTGGCCGTTAGCATCGGCTCGCCGAAAAGATGCCCAGGTCCTCAGTCTGGCATGGCTCTGCGCAGCCCGATGGGTCCGCCGATGGTTAAGATTTCAGCTAGAGCGCTCCAAGGCGTAGGTCAACGCAGGGATAGCCATATGGAATGGGTAACGGGCTGGTTTGTGTACAAATTTGGGAAAAATTACAGGTTAAGGCAAATATGTGGGGTAAAACATCGTTAACATGCTGATCACGGACGCCAAGAAACGATAAAGCTTGCGTTTCTTTTCGTCATAATAAGCTCGATTTGCACTTTTCTTGCAATAATCAACGCAAAACAGCAAGTTTTCTTATAAACTTTTCAGAAACTCACCCATATCATAGGAATGGAGTCCTGAAAACTGCAAATGAATGGATAGCGGCCAAAGGATGCTCGTAACTAATTGATCATAGATAGTGGGTTGCGGGTGGGGATGGGCACAGTTGCATGGGTTTAACGGGTTGGTTGGGTAAAGCATATATATATATATATATATATATATATATATATATATATATGTGGGAGGGGGGTTGAGCTGAATTAGTCATCTTGAAAGCCTTTTGGTGTTGTTCACAATGCTGCCCGTGTGAAGCCCTGACCCGTCTAGTTTCTGAGCCACACGCCGGCGAAAATGGGGCAAGGTATGTCGGGGAAGTATTTAAAAGTCACCTTGGCATTTATGACGTCATGATAATACCATTCAAATCCTGCCATTCAATCAGCCATGCGACGATCAAGGGCAAACGACACATTTGTTGAGGTGCTCGCATCTGAGGTTCGGGAGCGCGATTTCCAGATATAACGGCCGTCAATTAGCTCTCTATAAATGTTGTGCAAGGGACCATGACACGTCAAAGCATGACGCATTGAGGAGCGTATTTACTAAACAGAGCATTGTGCTGTCTAGAGCAGTCCTGTCCACTTAAAAATATACCAATAGCTATAACTGAGCATGTTTCATCATATCTGATGCTTGCTTCAATATCTTCAAATGTGAAACATTCCCTTTAAATGGCAGGTAACTGATGAGCTGTAAATGTAATCAATAACGCTCACCCTTTCCGCTGTTTGGCAGATGACAACTGCGAACAGCATCTGTTCTGGTACTTGTACTTGCCCTGCAGCACACTGGGAGCATAGCGGCACCTGCCGGCCTTGTGAGTACGACCGCATCTTCTTTACATCTCACCGAGCGGCACAGGATCGTACCGGCATCAACAAGTGCTGTAATGTGCTATGTTGCAATGTAATGTTCTATGGTGCGAGGTGAGAGATCTGATGTTGCAACCATTTAAATATTGACTGCTGGATGATGCACTGAAATAATACAATGCCACATGAGTTCATCCTTAAAGGGAGTGTTCCCCGTTGGTTATGGGGTTCTGAACTGGAATAGCCACTTTGAAGGTCATTCGGTGCAGTTCTCGATCCTACCCTTCTTAAGATCCAAACCACTATAATTTCTGAGCGGCACGCACGCAAATATATGCATAATTTATTACGTCATCCAGATCCTGCCATTCCATTGGTCATGCGGTGATCAAGACCAAGAAAACATCTTTGTCGAGTCGTTCATATCTGGTGTTCGTGAGCACAATTTCCAGATACAATGGCGGTCAACTGGCTCTCATTCAGTGCTGTGCAAGGTACGATAACGTCATCAAACAATGACGTATTGAGGAACATATTTACTAAATAGAGAAGTTCTGTTATATTAAGGAGCCTTTTCCACTTAAAAGTACACCAGTAGTTATGAGTGAGCTTATTTCACCATATCTGATGCTTGCTTTAATATCTTCAAATGTGCTCCATTCCCTTTAGCCCGCGCCCGGATGGCCGGTAAAATGCGCCGCGCTCGTGCTGTGGAGTGTTTATACCCCCCGCCATCTAAAGAAAACTACGAGAGCTATATGCACTAAAGTCATGAGAAAGGTAGGGCCATTCACCGAGTTGAGTGTGGAAGTCTCATATGTTGTGTTCTTTGTCTCGAATAAGGTTAAACAAAGTCAAGCCCCAGATCGGTGTCCGAAGTGCCCTCAGACATTTTCGCGCATCCAACCTTTGCCTAGATACCAGCTGTTAGCAGCATTATTGGTGTTCGCAACAGGCCAGTGGCCTTGTTTAATCTTTAGAAGGTAAAAATGACATTTTGGATTATGTCGCTATTTGAATTTGAGATCGACACGAAGCACTACCTCAGGCGGCACGCTCCTCAAAGCCAAAGGTTGATCATGATCACTTAGGGTCAGTGACCTCACCTGATCTTCATGAAATCAATATAAGGCATCTTTTGGAAATGAGCGTAAACACATCATAAAGAAAGCCCTCCAGTAATTTAGCTGTTTGGTTTTGACCTCGATGTGACCCCCACACCCGACCCGAGACCAATGAAATCGGCTGTAATCCCAAGTTCAGCAGTCCCAGTTGTCTAAGAAGTCATCTGAAATTTGCTTGACTTCGTCTAATGCTGCATTGTCAACCATGTTGAAGCATTCCCAAGGAATCGCCTCCGCTGACAGACAAGGCCTCACTGTGACCTCTCATAGGCCAGCGGCCTTGAAAAGATCTGTGTATATTTTTATACAGAACGATTCACTATTCAATTGTGTGCAGTTATACAAGGTGTGGCGCGGTTGTACCACGCTGTTCGGAAATTATTTGGGAAAACCCGTTGGGGGGTGGGTGGGTGGGTGTTAAATTGATCCCCACTTTAGCGCGCGTTAAATTACCAAGTTAGCAAAGGAAATGGATTTACATGCAATGCTCTCTTTTGTTTCGCGATAAAATACGGGCGCACTCGCATCGCATTACCAACTAAGAAAAGTGCGGTATCGAAAGCCACCAGTACTAGCACAGCTCCCTACCTTGCAGCATTAGGTACCATGTGCTTCGCCAGTGCTCCCGTGCTCCCATCCACTTCGCACCTGGGCAGGCAGGTCACGGTCAACCCAGGTACCCTGGGGTCCACTACATCCGCGAAACGACAACCGCACGACAACCTATGTCTTGCATTTGTGTTTGCACATTCACTCTTGACGAAGTCGGACCAACATCTACGGCAAAGATAACGGAAAGCCAACACAGTCAGCGCGAGCCAGACAAAGTCAACGAAAGTCTGCGAACGCCGCTCAGAGGTGCAAGCCCATAGCTAGCTGTCCTAAGTAATCATTCAGCCCAGAACGCCATTCCCTACATGATATGTGGCGAGCGGATCGGTGGGATGCCCGAATCCCCCTCTATCCACCGACCCACTTACCCATTGACCCACCGACCTACTCGACCCGCCTGACCCATCTGACCCACCCACCGACCCGACCACCACGGCCTACTTGACATACCCAACCCACCGACATACTCGACCCATCTGACCCGTCTGACCCACTGACCTACTCGATCCACCGACTTTCCCAACATTCCTGACCCACCGTCCTCCTCGACCCATCTGACCTACCGTCCTACTCGACCCATCTGACCCAACGACCTACGCGATCCACGGACTCTCTCAACATTCCTAACCCACCACCCTACTCGACCCACGCCACCCGTCGACATACCTGACCTACTTGATCCGCCCGACGCACCGACCCACTCGACACACCAACTCACTTGACCCATTCGGTCCACCCGACCTACTCAACCCACTTGACCCAGCCGGTCCACCCGACTCATTCGCCCGACCTGACCTGACCTGACCTGCGCAACGCCTCCAGCGGTGGCGTACGGGGGCAGTTGCACCTACGACCAGGACTGCAGCACCCACGACGCTCGCTTCGCGTGCTACAGCGGCACGTGCTCCGACTACGTCTGCTCGCCGGTGTCCGTTGGCGGTTGTGAGTATCGTCCCTGGCGGCCGACGCCCACCCATACTGCCACCCTGCTCATTTCGAGCGAAGGGTGTGTGGTATTAGAAGGGAGAGGTCGCCCGTTACTTCCGAAATTCGCTCACATGCTTGGCTGCGAGCTAGTTTAATTCATTTTCGTGGCTCAAGGCTTATCGGGCTTCCTCAAATCAACTAAAATGTACTTTCCCATGCTAAACGCGGGAGGGAATAAGGGCTGTTCCATCTTTGACCACATTATGCAACACATTCCCGGATGCAAGCTTCATAGCATCTAGATAATCGTCGTTAACTTCCACACCCAGAGCTTTCGGGGACGGGGAACTAGGTTGCTGAAGTCTGCTGAACATTGGCAGATGAGTACCGGCTGGCGGGCGGCACGAGCGCCTGCATCACGGGCCGCGTGGAGCTGCGCTCTCCGGGCGGACAGTGGGGCCACGTGTGCGATGACGGCTGGGATGACGTAGACGCCGGCGTCTTCTGTCGATCTCTCGGCTTCAAGTAAGCACTCCTCTGGCCGCGTCTACGCGCCGCGCGAGGGTTTAGGTATTACGTCTTGCTGGCCTTCAGGTACGCACGTGTCGCCGGGCTTCAGGTACGTATGTGCCGCCGGCCTTCAGGTACATACGTGCCGCTGGGCTTCAGGTACATACGTGTCGCCGGGCTTCAGGTACGCACGTGCCGCCGGGCTTCAGGTACGCACGTGCCGCCGGGCTTCAGGCACGCACGTGCCGCTGGGCTTCACGTACGTACGTGTCGCTGGGCTTCGCGTACGTACGTGCCGCTGGGCTTCAGGTACGTACGTGTCGCCGGGCTTCAGGTACGTATGTGCCGCTGGGCTTCAGGTACGTATGTGCCGCTGGGCTTCAGGTACGTATGTGCCGTTGGGCTTCAGGTACATCATGCCGCTGGGCTTCAGGTACGTACGTGTCGCTGGGCTTCAGGTACGTACGTGCCGCTGGGCTTCAGGTACGTATGTGCCGTTGGGCTTCAGGTACATCATGCCGCTGGGCTTCAGGTACGTACGTGTCGCTGGGCTTCAGGTACGTATGTGCCGCTGGGCTTCAGGTACGTATGTGCCGTTGGGCTTCAGGTACGCACGTGCCGCCGGGCTTCAGGCACGCACGTGCCGCTGGGCTTCACGTACGTACGTGTCGCTGGGCTTCGCGTACGTACGTGCCGCTGGGCTTCAGGTACGTACGTGTCGCCGGGCTTCAGGTACGTATGTGCCGCTGGGCTTCAGGTACGTATGTGCCGTTGGGCTTCAGGTACATCATGCCGCTGGGCTTCAGGTACGTACGTGTCGCTGGGCTTCAGGTACGTACGTGCCGCTGGGCTTCAGGTAAGTACGTGTCACTGGGCTTCAGGTACGTATGTGTCGCTGGACCTCAGGTACATACGTGCCGCTGGGCCTCGGGTGCGTATGTGCCGCTAAACTATGAGTGTACTGCTGGACTGTATGCTGGACGTCTCTAGTGTCAACAAAATTGCGTTGTTTTTTTCGTCATCTTCTATTAGCATGGCTTCAAGTGATGGTACCCATGAGTCATACGTGCGTGCGCTTCTGGAGTACAGGTGTGTGCCCTGGGACTACCGGCACTTGTGCGCGCGCTGCACACTATTACTTGGAGTTCAGAAGTGGCGGAAAACTGTACCTCAGGGACCGATCAACATTGAACCATCATTTAGTGTTCATAGCAAAGCCAGGAATGTTTCACCTGCTCTCTGACGACCTTGCATTCATATGTTCAGTTGTCCCTATCACAGCATGTCACCCTGCGACTGTGGATGTTATCGCTCAGTTAACAGGTTGAAATAAGCATCAGCAAATGTGGTTATTTTCATCATGTCAAAATATCCTCTTGGAATGACGCAATAAGAGCATGAAAGGATGGGCTTTCTGACAATATCTAAGTTTCCTGACATCTCGGAATGCACGACGTGCCGTCGTTGGATGTGTCGCTTCCCCACGATCCCGGCTGATTAAGCACCAAGCTCATTTCCCCTTTAACCCGCCATTGTGCCACCTCGTTTCGCTCATTTGCGATGCCATGCTGTTTTAAAGCCCTGCAAGGACCCTGATGGCAGTCGGTGTGATCGCCAGTGACGCGCCGGAAAGCAGAAATCCAGGCGCGTGTCATCGAGTGATTAAACTGGTCCGTTGTAGGTCTTCTTGCGTTTTGCACTATGGGTATTCTCACAACCTTAGAATCGTTTCAGGGTCCGTTACATTCCTGACCGACGTCCTAAAGCGCCGCGGCTAAGAGGAGGGGGAGGGGGATGAGGCCGTACGCCGGTGGCGTGACGGTGCGGCAAGGGGCGCGCCTCGGCCAGTCGGCTGCCTCTGACCTCCTCTCTTTAACCGTGCTCCAGCGCCGGCACGTTCGCCTGCTGCTCGACTCACGGCTACGGCGGCGTCCTCAAGTTCCACATGGACGACGTGGCGTGTGGCGGCAGCGAGAACCACCTGATGGCCTGTTCCTACGGCGGCTGGGACCAGCACAACTGCGGCTCCTCGGAGGTGAGCTCGGTCACATGCTCCTAGACGGCCGGAGCGCCGGGCGACGTCTCGGCCGGTGCGGCCGTCAGCGGCGGGCCCAGCCAATCAGCGGCCGGCGTCAACAGCTGGCGCCCGCGGACGGTCTGTCGGGAGTGAGCAGCTGGTGCGCACTAGCCGGCGGTCTGGCCGAATATCAGCCGATAACCAACCGACCAGCCAGCCAACCAACTGACAAGTGATCTGCTGGAGTGTCAATGGCTGTTGCAGTCGGATCATATATCGGGCTGTCAATACGCCAAAACAGCGTGTGGTCTTGTCCTCATTTCACCAGCCTCAGGTCACCAGCCTGCACCAACAGCCGACCTATCGGACAGCCAGAACCACGGATTGATTACGTCACTGTCGACCGTCGCCAGTCACGAATCGTCACCAGTGTGACGTCACTGTGATACATTCGTTGGCCTGACCCATGACTCAAATCGTAACCGTAATTGTAGTAGTCTGAAGACTGTTGAGGCTGCCTGCCAAATTGTCGCCAGTAACTGGCCGTTGCCGGCGTGAGCTGCTCACTAGTTCGATTACCAGCGAACCGCACCGGTCTCCGTGATGACACGCCCCGATCTGACCTAACCTGACCTGCTCTACTGGCCTCTCTTGAGGCACCATCTGACCTAGGCAGCGGCCGACCTTTTGATGTGCCGATGAAAACGAGGGGCTTTTCCGCATACATCTGCCCGTTTGAAAGCAACGCGTGTGAGTTAGAACCGCCGCACGCGGAGATATTGTTGCTTGCCTTTTGGAGCCGTTTTATGTTCGTTATCGGCGGAATGATATACAATCCTCACGTCAAATTCTACAGCAAACACAACCGCAGCGACCCCGCGCTTTGTTCAAAAGCATTGCAGCATTGTCAAGCGGAGTGGTGTACTCTCAGAACTAATACACCATGCTTCGAGATGTGTTCAAACATCATGCGTTCTCATAACTAATCTTAGGATGACCAGTTGTATGTTTGTGTTAGGCTTGCTACTTGCCCAGCCGTTTTTGTTCCTGCGCCAGTGTTATACCAGCTGCACTAATTCATTTGTTGTTCTTGCGTAATGCGCTTATTGACGACCGTGAAGAAGTATGTAGCCCAGCACACATCCCTACCTCCACTGATCACAGCGCTCTTAAATATGGCGTCTATTTTCTCTCACTTTAACTTGCCATAAGCAATGGCTATGCCTAGCACTGCGCGTAATACTTTGAGCCGCAAAGCTCCTTTTTGGTCGTAGTCGCAACCCAGGCTGGGCGTTCTGTCCTGTATCGTTCGAATTAGGCTGACTGTATGACGGCGTCCACCGGCCATCGCTATCGGCTATCAATAAAACGATGCTTTGTACAGACCCATGTGGTTGTGTGCGATGTTTTGTGTCTCCTTGGATGGACTTATTTGGAGTTTCTGTGAGTTCAGCGACACGAAAAGCAGAATACATACTCGGTGCGCTTGGTATCCACCCGTTTTTTCGGAAAAGATGACGTCTTTTTTCAAACACGAAACAAATTCACAAAACGAGTATGAAATGAAAAATGCAGCAGCAGTCATCTACATTGGCCGTTTTCACCATGATGTACTGAATCGTTTTTTTAAAGTTAAGAAATGTTTTATTCAATTTTAGTGTATACTAACTTCTCTGACAACGAAGATTGTTTCCATGCAATCATATTAGCGTGCAATGGATAAACCACATGTATCCAGCTAAGAACTAGTTTGTCAGGCTAAACGTCACCCTTCATAGACATTTCCTCAGCCCCCACCTTTAGCTCACCCGGATTTTAGGAAAATACTAGGCCTCGCAATCAGCACTGTGCATCGGTCGAAGGCCTTGGATGCCGGCCGCCTCATTATTGTTGACATTGGTTTTGTGTGCAACAAATCGTTCGTATTGGATCATGATAAGGTAGTTGTAAACTCTGTAAACATTACAAGCAGAGTATATAAGAACTAAGAAAACTTTGTAAGTACTGCATACATATGAACAGGGATGCTACAAAGAAAGACCAGTTTGTTTTGTCGCGTCTGAGCCAGAGATGCCACTGAATGTTTTTAGCGGAAGTTGAAAAATCGCGATAGAAAGGGATCTATCATTAGATATGTCCATTAAAGCATTATCTTACGTACGGTCTGCTAGCCGTTTTTTTACCAAATTATGCGTCTTTACAAACATGCTTTTTAAAATATTTGCGACACATTTTTAGCCTAATATCGCTGATGAAAGGTGTGTGGTTAGAAAATAAACGCTAAAAAGGTTTAAAGGTTTTAAAAGTTGTGCACCGTAATTCTTCATGAAAGCGTCCAGGAGTTTGAAATGCTGCTTCCTTAGCGGGCTCTGTGTTGACAGGCTGATCGTGGAGGAGGATTGGTGACATAGGTGTGTTCCGTGGAAGTTTGCTTCCAACATGACCGATCAGTGCGTCAGAGGCGTCTTGGGGCCCAATTTTTTAGTGAGAATCCTCTAGCATCAGGCCTCCTTAGTATGTGACTTTCAAGCGGAATTAAAACTTTGCATTTCTTTGTCCCATGGATAGGGCAGTGGCATTAGCCTTATTCCTCGGAAAAACCGGGAAAATGGAGATATAGTTAGATTAATATTTCGGAAGCATACCTTTCTCGAAACAATACCGGAAGAATTTCGAGAAAAGCATGTTGCCGAAACATCAACCTAACTCTATCTCCTTCTCCTGCTTTTTTCCGAGAAACAAGGCTAATAATAATTCTTATCTATATGACTAATGTTCCTCGCTAATGCACTGAACAACTTACATGATTTCTTTGCCCATTTTAACCAATAATCGGGAAAAAATGTACATGGTCTCATATATAATAATGCAATATTTTATCTCATTTCAACGTATACCACAGCACAAGTATAAGGCTTTTGAGGAGATGGCTAGTCGTTTCATATCTTACTGTATTGTGATTGCTTGGAGCTCGGGAAAGCCTTAGTAAAAACGGCACCAGTGCGTAGCACTGGCACATGTAAGTACTCTGAAATTCCTTTCGGCAATGAATTGCCAAGAAGTTCCAGCCGTCGGCACTGAACTATCAGCCCGGCTACAACCGGCTCAGCAGACTGCGACAGTAACGTTCTCAGCCGCTAGTGCGTCAAAACTAATCTAACGCTTATATATGAGCTGTGAAACAGAAGCCAAGATCCGCACGCTGCAACTTCCCTTGCCGCCACTCGGGACTCCGGCAGGATTTCGAAGGAAGCTATGTGAATGCCAAGCGTAATTGCCCTGTTGTCAGGAGACGCCTGCCTGAGTGTGCACTAACGGGCCGCCTCGAGATCTCTTGACCTCACCAGGGACTCCGTACTAGCTCGCTTCTATGGCTCCATTATGGCTCCACCTTAACGCGGCACGCGCTCCACGCGCCTGGGCCGTGGACCGATGACCGATGACGGCGCTGGATTTGTGACAGGTCAATGGACTCTTCACGCTACAAATGCGAGTTTCTTGAAATGCCGGATTCATATGAACACCAGGCCGTAGCAACTGCAATCAAAGTGAAACCATGCAGACACGGAACAACCTCTATGTGCGACCCAAAACGTCAGATTCTTATGAATGCCGGCGTTGTTCAACTGCTGCAACCGAAGCGAAACCCCTCAGGCAGGAAACGGTGGGGCCGCGGCCGAGTCCTCGCCGTCAGCGGAACACTTCCCGTCACGCAACCATTAGGGTTCAAAAGGTACGTGCATGCATACGTGCCAAGCTTGACGGTGGCAGTTATGGCATGACCCTCCGTTGCAGGTGCGGGGCCGGCAGGGTGAGTGGGTGAGTGGGCGCAGCTGACCTGCTGTAGGCACGCCAGCCGGCGCCGAGACACGCAGCCAAATGCCGTTATTTGGACATATTTATATATATATATATATATATATATATTTATATATATAATATTAAGAAAATCAATAATAATAAATAAATAATAGAAAGTAGATAAAATACTATGAATATGATAAAAAAATGTAGGATAAATATTTATATATAATGTATATACAAATGCAAAATAATAAATTGAATAAAATCAAAGCTAAATAAGTGACAGAATAAAATAAAAACAATATAAAATAACATCATGCCACGTGACGTATAGCTTTACAACCAATTTTCGTTTGAAGTTTCAGAGTTGTCATTATTAAAGGTTTCCACCTATCTCTGAATCGCTCCATCTTATCATTCGCAGCTGTAGCACATTTTTCCACGCTTAGCACGCCGTGAAAATAATTTTTGAAACTCTTGATGTTGATGGCGCTATCATGAAGTTTGTGACGGACTGTTTGGTGTACAGTGCAATTAAGCTATTAACATCTAGTCCATGAATGCACTGAAAAAGTACATTTGCGTCATCGGCACGAGATCGATCCGTCCTGATCAATATATGTTATTCAGGACATCAGAGAGCACGACCTTCAGCCGAAGACATGAACAAAACTAATGTTTGAGCGCTTCCACGTTTGGTTGAAAAGCATCTATCAGTCATTCCAAACCGGATACTTTGCAGACGAGTTAATTTCACTATTTTCCAGGTGATTCGTACAATCCTGTCCAGTGGTCACCGAAGCTAGAGCCGTCTGCCTCCGATCGCTTCCGGGCCGCAGACTGAGCTAAAGGTCGCTTAAGTGCACAGAAGTCATGCGTTCTTTTACTGCTGAATGCAACCAATTTCTTGGCGGTGTGGCTGTGAATAGAAACCGCTTTGGCCTTCACTGTCAGCGGGGTACTGCCAACTACCATATGCTTCCACGCTTGAGGAAGGCGCGGCACCGTCCAGGGAAAGTTATGGGATCAACCCATACTGGACCGCATGTGTGCGCGAATTCCTAATAGCCTATTAAACATCCATTATGATCAAGCAAGTTGTCAATAAGCTTTCAGCTGCGAGCATCGAGTAATCTACGACAGACTGGCTTACATTCCAAAGTGCCCTGCCTTAACAACGAAATGAATTGGAGGGCGTGACGGGCACTGTGGCATGATGTCATTCCCGTTGGCTCCTGGTGGTCGCTGGGCTGCAGGTGAGCTGTATACCGGAGTGCTTAATGCCATGTAACAATT